AGATTTCAATAGTGAACACCTTGTTCTATCTATATCAACTGAACAGGAAGCATAGATAGAAATTAAATTTTGTCATACATTACGTAATTGACTTTATCTTCGGACTTTCCATTCCTCCTGCAAATTTCAGAACCCTACCTCAATAATTACGTGAGATACGGGCGAGTACGGGGGTGCTTCCATAAAAACTATAGTTAGTGAATAGGGCGTCCTGATTCCGAAATCGAAGTGATTTTCAACCTATTTTGACTCCTAATATCATTTTCCGGAAATTGGGGTGGTTCCATGGCTGTTGGCGAGCAGTGTATATCACTGAAGATGACCCCCACTTGGTGATAGAGTGAATTTTTGGTTTATCTCTCGCTCCAGTAAATTTCAGGATCCTTACTCAACGATTACGTAAGATACAGGGGTGTTTCCATTAGAAGTGGGCCACACTGTATATGAGACTCAATGACATGATGTATCGCAAGGAAAATTTATTTTGAAAACTTTTCAAAATATGTAAGCTCCCACCATACAGCATCTTTCAACTATTATTGAACGTCCAGCAACATTGCAGAAGTCATTGATAGTTATGGTGCTTGTGATCTCGCCGAAAGCAAACGCTTGGGTTGGGCTATTAACCTCTGATTAATGATTTACCTCGTGATTTACAAAAGTTTCAGGCAATTTTTGAAGACCAATATCTTCCAAAATATTTGTTTTTCGACAAGAATGTATTCTTTCATTTCGTTTTGTTTTTTCGTCTCCTATCATCCATTTCATTGATGGCCCCAATTTAGGAAACACCCATGTATTAATTTATTTATCTCAAGTTCAAATTATTTGAGTTGTCGTTCAAAGAATAAAAGGGAGAGGGACATTAAAGAAAAGCACTGTATATACTTATTTCAATGTTGTTGGATATTGTAGTATATGATAGATAGATGATTAACAGAATGTTGCATTAATATACAACAAATGTTTTCAACAAATTCATTGAAATCTTCAAGGTTATATTTTTTTAAGATAGTCACTGAAAATTATTTTTATTAAGACCAAGAGTTCTTATCTCACTACTAGGAATAAATGTTTGAATATTATAGTTGTGATTGTAATTCTTCTTTTTTGTGTGTTTATTTGTCTATACTGTAATTCACATTTTTGATTAATAATTTCTTTATAATATGTCTATATCATGCCCGTATGACCAATATATGTATTTGATGTTTTATAAACTTATTGACGAATGTTGAAAGTGTAAAAACATGAATAAATATCTATCGGTCCATATATGAAAGATATCAATATTAAAAAAATTATTCTTTATTCCAATGAGGTCAGAAATTTTGTGGAAACAATAAAAAGTGTGAAGTCAACTGGTCACATGCACAATCCCCAACTCTTATGTCCAAACAAGCTTCCAATGCTTTGAAATTGATGAAATGGGGTGAATTTTTATTCAGCGGGCATCAAGGACTGACAGCAGATATAACAAGAGCTTATCTTTGTGGTTGGCTTTATTCATGACAATACTGACACCATTAAGAGTAGTGATGTAACGCAGATGCATCAACATGATGTTCAACCAATTAGAGGTTGAGTTCACAAATAACTACCATAATGTTGCTTCAACATTGGTAGAGGTTTTTAGGTTGATAACTTGGAATGAAATCTCCCATTGAAACATCACAAACTTCTGTATAATAACAATGTTCATAGATAAGAAATAAATGCAGAAGTTCATAACATCTCTATCCAATCATCGTTAGATTCAAAAGTAGTTATGGCCGTGCAACAAACTAACCAAACTATTCTACTGAGAATGGTTCCTGTGAGTATTCATGGACCCACTGATGTTGTACACACTTTTGGTCTCTGCGATGAAGGATCCACAGTTAGTCTGTTGGATAATGCAATTGCCAAGAAACTGAGATTGAAACCCCTTTGTATTGAATGAAATGGGGATATAACAACCAAGTTAGAGTACTCAGAATATCTAGATCTGAATATTTCTGGTGAAATAGGTATCAAAATAATGGTATTGAAAAATGTTCATACAACTGAGAATATTTCTTTGTCATTGCAAACTATTCAGATGAAAGATTGGCTAGATTGTCCACTAATCTTCCAATTAGAGACTTGCTAATAGGCCAGAATAATATTGATCTCATTGTTCCCAGACAATTTAGAACTGATGCAGATAACAGAAAAGACTCAGCGATTGTTACAAAATGTCACCTAGGTTGGCCACTTCATGGTAGAAATAAAAAAGGACGGCATGACAAAATGGTAGAAAACATTCACCTTTGTGAAAAGGGAATGAAGACGAGAACCTGCACGACATAGTGAAGAATCAATTTTCTCTTGAAGCCTTTGGAGTGTTGCCAGTGAAGAATAAGCTCAGCAAGAACCTGCATGACATAGGTAGAGAAGAATTATTTTTCTCTTTAAGCCTTTGGAGTGCTACCAGTGAAGAATAAGCTCAGCATAGCAGAGAGTGAAGCCCTAAATATTATTGAAAACAAGGGTTGGAGGCAGGTTTGAAATATGTCTAATTTGGAAAAATGAAAATAATAAATTGCTGGAAATGAAAACTAAAGCAAATCAAAGATAGGAATGTATGGAGAGGAAGTGTGGCAGAAATAAAGAATTTGCAAGAGTATCCTTTTCAAATATAGCAAGTTATTGAGAAAGAGGATACTTGAAGAAGCCCATACTTGAAGAAGCTGATACTTGAACAAGCAGATACTTGAAGGAGCCTACACCAGAAGAAGCACAGATTAAACCACCACATCCTTGGTATTTACTACACTTTGATGCTACATCTAACAGAAATAAAGCCGGAAAGATATGCTTAGTATTTGATACAGCAACCAAGTCACTGTAAGTCTTTATGATAAGCTTATGGCTGGACCAGACTCACTACAATCATTTCCTTCCGTTATCATTTAGTTTTGCCAATGAAAATATGGTTTCACAGGGGTGTTAGACAGATGTTCTACCAGGTGATGATCAGACAAGACAAAGACTATTGTGGAGGAACCTGAATACTGTAATAGAACCTGAAGCTTGAAGACTATTGTGGATGAACCTGAATACTGCAGTAGAACCTGAGTTTATAAAATGCAAGTCATGACCTAGTGAAGGAACCTGAATACTGCAATAGAACCTTCAAGTCATGACCTTCAGAGCAATTTGTTCTCCTGCATGTGTGTAATTTATAAAAAAATGTAATGCAGAATAGTGAAACACCAGAAAATCAGAGCTATGGAAATAAAAAGTGTAATGTCATTAGCTGGATTTAATGTGTCAACTAACTCAGCAGATTCAACAAACAATGAAGATATTTTAGACAGAAAGTGTTGGCATTTGGTGGAACTAGGTAGATGACGTCATTTGCTTCAAACTGATACTTGATGAAATGGATAATGAGATAAAACAAAAAAATTTTTAGGATTGTCATGTTAATTTTTGATCCTTCAGACTTCCTATCATTAGGGTTACATGTGGTAGAACTAATTTCAAAATGATGCAAACCCTTCGAAATAAGATTATTAAAATTCTTTTCAATATTCATAATAAAACACCTACAGAAGAAGTTTACATTCAAACCAAAATTGCTCAAATAAATAAAATATTGGTTCTGGAACAATGCAAATACATCTACAAAATCACAAACAACCAACAGAAATGCAATGTTCATCTTGATCATATCTACTTCAATGAACAGAAGTATAGAATCATAGAACACATTACCAATGACAGTAGTACAGTAGTAAACTGTTAGTGTACAAGTATTACATTGAGATTACACAATTAATATTTCCATTCATGTCATGTAATAATATTATTATTCCTATACCAGCAAGCACAAATTGCTGTTTAGGAATTATGTTGGATCACTGGGCAGTATATTATTATTTAAACTAGGCTATACATATGTTAAATTGTATTATAAAAAAATGTGATAAACATTAAGGTGATTAAAAAAAAATATCATGAGTGCAAAGATTATTTTGCATAAACTGGGATAAAAATATTCCAGCCAATTTGATTTGGTTTGGATGGAATGGAAAGAGGAGCTGGGGGCTATTGTGAGAATAAAAATCCAAAGGTGAACTACACATATTTTGTGATCCTATTTGCCAGTGGGAATGATAGAATCTATACAGTTTTGGTGATGGCAAAGACAAGAGTAACCTGCTGACACTACTTTCTATAGCTGCAGGCAGCTGTATTGGCTGAGAGATTAGCGAAAATGCTAAAACAAGAAATATAAATTGATATAGAAAAGACATTCTTGTGGTCTGAATCCTCCTGTGTTCTTAAATGGATAAGAAGAGATGGAGGTGTGTAAAAACCTTTTGTACCACATATCCTATCTGAGATAGGCACTAACTCCTACTGAAATAAACATACCCAATATTGCCATGCAACAACACATGAACAAGAAAACCAGTATTGCTTCTACAATTTGGTTGAACAGACCCTCATTTTCTAAAGACCCAGTAAAAAAATTACCAGAAAAAGTGAGAATTTCAAAATTGCCTGAAGGAAAAAAGAGGTAATTATGATTCACAAGACTGATTGATATGATATCAAAACTCCATCATCCATAGAAAGGTTAGGCTCTGGATTTCATTGCCTGAGGAAGTATTCCCAACAACGGCAACAACATATAATCTCCAGAAGTTCAAAAAAAATTCCAATACCTACCTACTGTCCCTATCCTCCCTAGGAACTCACGATGTTCTTTGAACATTATAGGGATTTCTATTCATAAGCTCCAAGCAAAAAGAAAAATAGGAATAGGAATATGCAGTGGCAGCATTGATATGAAGTATTTGAAACAGGCATGTCTCTGTAAAAGTACATACCTGTTCCAAACTAAATTATTGAGTAAACTTGAATCAAAATGTGAATAATAAGATTGTCTGGTTGAATAGGTAGGTTGGGGTAGGTTAATCTGATAAACAGAATAATAAGATATGCAAATCACTGAGCAAATCACTTACTGATATTGATCCTGTGGCAGTAGAAATTATCAGCTGATCAAATATTGATAAATTATTGCTAATATATACATTGACAGCTTCCTTGGTCTTACAATTTTCTACTTGAAGTGTTATTCCCACTGCTAAACAGGCTAGTTTGCTAATGAATTTCCGGACATTTTTCGTATCTGGCAAAATTTGAGCCAATAAGAATAATCCAAGAAGTAATATTGCTCTGAGTGAAAGTATTATTATTCCCAAAGGAATATACAATACACATAATAACAAACTGATATCATTATCTGACAACCTGAAAAATATTCAAAAGGAGTGAACAATTCAATATAACTAATACACTAACAAACCTGTTATTCAAAAGGTGTTTGATTTCAATAGCTGGCATATTTTATTGTACTTTTTTAAGAAATTTTCTCTGAAGCAATATGTTTGAACAAATCAACATCACTTCTAGGTATTTTTGATGTAGGTACCACCTTCCTATGATTCGTGTCTATTGAAACAGTTCTCACATTAATACATAATTCAATGATCCCAAAGATCTAATAATATAACCAAATTCAAAAAATTAGCCCAACTTTGCAATTTTACTGTCAAATCCTCATTATGTTAAAAAATAAAAACGTCAAATCGTCAAGTGTCAAGACATTATAAAGACTGTAAGATGAAGACTGGCAAGTGGCAAGTGACAAGAAACTGAGGCCAGTGAGGCTACGGCCACGGCTTTGGGTTCTGTGCACGATGTAGGGAAGATGGTGGAATCACACATTTGTTTCAACCAAATCGCTTTACGTATGAGATCACTAGTTACCTGAAGGGGGCGCTAGCTCCAAGGTTGGTAGAACTGATGATAATACAAATTATCATAAATTTCAATATATGAAAGAATATGAACAAGAAAACATGACAGAAATATCTAGATGTACGGCGACTCGCAATAAATTGAGAAAATTGCGAGAAATTTGCATTGCCTCAAACTTGCCGAGAAATAGCATTAATAATTGTACGGCGCCCTGTAACTTATCTCTGCTTTAGTATCTCACTTTCTGATAACCTTGAGATTTTCCGCAGCACGGCAGCATGTTACTAATTGAATAACTGGCAAGAGACATTGATTGTTTTCTTTGATTCTTGATTCTTTGTACTTGAATAAATGCAAAGATGTTGAAAGGTGTAAACAAAATTATATAGTGTGATTTTTTCGATAATAGAAATCAAAATGGAAATATCAGGAGAATGCGAAAACGTAGAAACTTGTGAAAATGAAGAATTAACATCTCAAAGTTGTAGCAGTTCCTCAAAACCTTTATTGACTGAAGAACGAATGCGTAGGAAACTCCAATTTTTTTTCATGAATCCCATAGAAAAATGGCAAGCAAAGAAAAGATTTCCATACAAATTCACTGTTCAAGTCATAAAGATCATCCTAGTGACAATGCAGTTATGCCTTTTTGCCTACCATCGCTACAATCATGAAAACTACACATGGGATAATAGACTCACTTTTTCCCATTTGTTCCTGAAGGGTTGGGATGCTACACGGGAAATCAATTCATATCCTCCAGCTGTGGGTCCACTTGCTATTTACCAGAAAGCAGACTTCTATTCCACTATTGATTATGCTTACCAAGGATATGCTAATATTGATAAAGCTGTGGCAGCTTATTCCTATGCAAATGAAGATAATACAATGACAGATATGCTGCTCTGCTTATATCAGTATAAAGAAGGCATTATCTATGGTTTCAATGAGTCTTATGTCTTCAATAGCCAAATAGTTGAAACCTGTTTGAATATTTCAAAATCACTCAATGGAAGTTTGCTCAACTCAAAGGAGGTCATGGAAGAAAATAAGCTGGACATCAATTTTTCAGCATTGGTAAGAGCTGAGCTTATGTTTTCAATCAAGACAGTGAATTTTAAAGCTGCTGGTAGAATTGCACCACCAAACTGTTATCGTTTTGATATTAAAATTATCTTTGACAATGCAGATCATGATGGACAGATGTTATTGTCCTTAGATGCAACAGCAATACGCTTGATGTGCAAAGGGGATGTACATTATATTACAAATGATGAAATTGAATCAACTTTGAGAAGTCTCCTGAACTATCTAGTTATACTAATCTGTGTCATTTCCTTTGTACTATGTAGCAGGGCAGTTTGGAGAGCTCAACAACTCAAAATGATCACTGATAAGTTCTTTAGAGTCCGCTTTGAACAACCTTTGAGTCACCATGATAAGATGAAATTCTGGAATTTGTGGTATATCATGATTATCATCAATGACATATTGATTATCATAGGATCATCAATTAAGGAACAAATTGAAAGAGATGAGTTTACAAGTGACCAGTGGAATGTTTGTAGTGTTTTCCTAGGCGTTGGTAATATGTTAGTATGGTTTGGTGTCTTGAGATATCTAGGTTTCTTCAAAACATATAATGTTGTAATATTAACACTTCAAAAAGCTGCTCCTCAAGTAGCAAGATTTTTGATTTGTGCACTATTGATATATGCTGGGTTCACTTTTTGTGGCTGGCTAATTTTGGGGCCTTATCATTTGAAATTCCGTTCATTGTCAACTACTTCAGAGTGTCTTTTCTCCTTGATCAATGGAGATGATATGTTTGCTACATTTTCAATAATGTCAAATAAGTCACTTCTTCTTTGGTGGTTCAGTCGTATTTATTTGTACTCATTCATAAGCTTGTATATTTATATTATTCTAAGTTTGTTCATTTCTGTAATAATGGATGCATATGAAACTATAAAGCTATATTATATAGAAGGATTTCCAAAAAGTAGTTTAGAATGCTTTGTTGGAGACACCAATTTCCAAGAAGTCTCTAGTGGCATTTTTAGAAGTAGTTCAAATGAGAGCTTGGGTGGTTTAATGAAAGATCTGTGCTGTTGCAAAAATATCCATAGATCTTATTCTTCCTTAGCCAAAACAGATGTTTATGAAAGTACAAGTGTAATTGCATAATAAAGCATTTAAAAGAAAGCCTTCATTAACAAATATATGTAAGTACATTTTTCTAGAGCCACTATCAATTGTGAGTTGTAAATATTGTATAAATGAAAATCTAAATAATCTTGTCCTTATGCATTCAAAGTGTATGTAATATGAGCTATCCTACAAATTTGATTGATTGAAGATTTATTATGCTGCTCCGGAGTGTGTCCAGTGTTCCATTATTTTGAATGATATTTTTGGAAAATGGCCTTATCAGATTTTGCATATCTGTTTCCATTTATGAGATACAGGACGATTTTGAAAATTTATACTGTATTCTCTATATCTACCAAGTATCTCAGTGGAAATATCAAATTAAAATCTGATCCCATAAAGAATTTCACTCAGAATCCAGTGGCGCACACAAAGTTTTTTCTAGGTATAGTTTTGGAGATATGCTCCAAAATCACTAAAACATCGAATTTTGATAGTGGACCATGGATTTGTCATATAAAAAAGTTCCAATCCAACTCGCAATCCAAGGAGTATTTATTTTGATTTTTCCATGAAGAGGCAAAAACAATACCAACAAATCACAAAACTTAGGTACCTGATATCAACAAATAGATAGTAATAAAAAGTTCAGAATGTAGAATAAGCACCTGATTGAATATTTACTAAAAACACTTTTGGTAACACGCTTTCTCAATATGCCTCAATACAGTAAGAGGCACATCAATCTTGAAGAACTTTGTGAAACAACAGAGGCGGTTTTCCGAGCGGTTTTCCAGGAGTTACAAAGACATCCTTTAATGATTTTGAATGCATTGAGACGTATTGAGAGAGTGTGTGAGGTTGAATGGACATTAATTTGAATAATTCAATGGCTAAGTTACTGAATTATTTCGAAATTTAATACGGTACGGTACGCCTATATTCATACATTATATATCATTTTGAAGGAAATAAAAAAGGAGTTTAATGAGGTAATAAAATACAAGGTGTTTCTTTTAAAAAATCATAAGTATGAGTCGTATCTTCAAAACAGAGATTCATCAAGTCAAGTAGCTTGATATTTTAACAAACTATTTGACTTGACTTGAAAATCAAGCTCGTGGCAAATTACGTACTTGACTTGACTTGAATTTGAGATATTTATTCAGGGACGCGCCTATACAGTGGCAACTGCGTGCACCGCACACGGGCGGCCACCCTCAGGGGCGGCCAATCACGAGATACTAAATAATACTTTGTTATTTTGAACATTATATTACTCTGTAGACTATGGGAATCCTTGTAATAAAATTTCAATCTCATTCAGTAAATTAACAACACTTAATAGAAGAAAAAATAAGAACAAACAACCTTTCTTACGCTGGTGAGTGGTGGCCCACAGGAGTCAGGACGATAGCGGCACGATTTTTCGCGATATACCACCATCGCTTCGCATTAGCATAAACTACAGAAGATAAACTATTTCAGTAATCTTTGGCATTAGCTGAGTAATGAAAGAATTGAATTTTTTAGCCATTGGACTACATTCAATTGTATGAAGATTTTGTCTGTGCGATATCGCGTACGAAAACCTTTTCGGCATCAGACTAAGAACATTTTCAATGCACTTGTGGAAGTATGTCAAGATGATAGTTTCGATTTGTCGGCTAAACACAAAGTATTCTCAATGGCTAGCAAAATCAATGAATTTCGATTCATCTGTTCCATACTGATATGGCATCATGAAATTTTGTTAAAAATCAACATCTGTAGGAAATTCTTTTCATGTTCTACACTCAATATTGAAGCATGTCTTGATCAATTGAATAATTTGAGATTTTTTTGCTGCATTCAGATCCGATGGAAACTATTCAAAAATTTTGAAAAAATTCTCGGACAATAGCTGATAATTCAGATTCTGAAACATACTTTCCAGAAACGTCTAGAAGGAGAGAGAGACCAAAATTGTTTGATTATGCACGAGGGAAATGATGATTATCAGACTGACTACCAACAGCACGCAAATTCAAGATATTTTTTTTATGCCATCACCGACCAAATAACATGTTCTCTCGATGAGAGATTCGAGTCTCTCAAAGATTATAATTAATGTTCTGGATTTCTCTAGTTAGCTTTTGGTAAGGACTTTGATGAAACAAGTTAACTCGAAAGTTATGAAAATTTGCAAGAAAAGTTAACAGATGAAAATCACAAGGAAGCAGATATAGACGGGACAGATTTATTCAATCAGTTAAAATCATTGAAAGTGATTTATCATGAAAAATAGAAAATCATCCACAACAGATTTCACAGTATAAACATTTTATTAACTTCACCGGTGTCAGTTGCTAATGGAGAAAGGTCATTTTCTAAGTTGGAGATAATAAAAAACTATTTGAGGTCTAAAATGAGCCAGGACCTTGCTTCAATAT